AATGGTACGTTATCACAAATTAAAGTTTTGGGTATTCCACGTGTTGCAAATATCGATTTCAATTTACTAGTAACTTCCACTGCACTTTTATTTTTTTAGAGGAATTATGTCTACCCATTTAGTTAAGTAACAGCCTTTTACTAGATAACTTTTCCCCGCATATTCACAGATATCAGCACCAATCTTTTCATAAGGTAAACTGGGAATTTCATGAGAAACAAGAGGTTCTTTTACTGTTTGAGGCCTGAACCTATCACAAATTAGGCATTTAGAAATCATATTCTCAATGTCACTGTTGATTCCTGGCCAAAAATAGTACTTGTCGAGCCCTAGCTTTTGATTTTTCAATCCCACAGTGAGCTTCATGCAATAATGTTAACATACCACTTTCTTAATGCAACAGGTACTACAATTCGATTATTAAAAAAAACTAAATCTTGTTCAACACTCAACTCATTTTTAAATTAAAAATAAGATCTTGCTTCTTTGGGAACTTTATCAACACTCAAAGGCCATCCATTTTGCCAATATTCTTTCACTAACATTAACCCTTCATCTTCTAATGTAGCTTTCTGAAATTCCCTTTTCTTACTCTCAGACATTTGCAGTTGTTTTGTTAGTGTACGAACAATCTCTGTCATATTTATATTTTCATTTGTGTGTGTATCAATAAAGGAACGTGACAGTAAATCTGCAATATACATATATTTCCCAGGTAAATATTTAAGTTATATTTTAAGAGCTTAATTTTTATCCTCTGCAATTTATTTGACAACACTTTAGCAATATTTTGTTCATAATTGAAACTAATGGTTTATGATCAGTAAGCACTTCTACCTCTCTACCATAAGTGTAATAGTGAAATTTATAAGCAGCAAATAAAATACTAAGAAATTCTTTCTCAATCTGAGCATAGTTTTTTTCTGCATTACTTAAACTCCGAGACGAAAAAGCAATTGGTTGCCCATTCTGCAATAAGCAGCAGCCTAACCCATCTTTAGAACTATCTGCCTGTATAGTTATAGGTTTACTGCTATCAAATATTCCTAACACAGGTGCATTGGAAATTAATTTTTTTAATTCCCTGAATGCTTTAGAATGTAGCTGTAACCACTGCCATTTTACTTTGTTTTTCAAAAATTCCCTTAATATGGCTGTTTTCTCTGAAAAATGCGGTACAAATTCCTCAAATAATTACACATTCCCAAAACACGCTGTAATTCATGCTTATTCTGAGGTTCCTGTAACTCAGTAATGGCTTTAATTCGATCAGGATCAGGTCGCATGCCCGATGCATTAAATAAATGATCTAAATATTTAACCTCACTAACCCTATATTGAAGTTTTTGCTTGTTGAATTTAATATTGAGTTTTTTAGCTCTGTTGATGACCTCTGTTAAAATTTTATCATGTTCTTGTATAGTGCTAGCAGCAATGAGGATGTCATCAAATAGACCAATACTCCTGGTATATCACCAAAGTTTTCAAGATTGCATTTCTGAAAAATTTCAGGCGCACAGGAAATACCCATTGGAAGCCTTAAGAATTTATAGCATCCAAATGATGTGTCTAAAAGTACAAAGATCACTACTATTTCCATCTAACGCTATTTGAAAAAAACCCATCCTTTAAGTCCAAAACAGAGTAAATTGATTTATTACATAGCTTTGGTAAAATCTCCTCAATTGTTGGAATCAACACGTGTTCTCTTTTTATAGCTTTGTTAAGATCTTGAGGATCAAGGCATATTCTTAAGGATCCATTAGCTTTTTCAATTATTACTAGATTGCTAACCCAGTTCAAAGGTTGATCAACTTTTGCAAGAATGCCCTTGATTCGCTTAATTTTAATTCAAGTTTAGGTTTAATCAACACATGTTCTCTTTTTATAGCTTTGTTAAGATCTTGAGGATCAAGGCATATTCTTAAGGATCCATTAGCTTTTTCAATTATTACTAGATTGCTAACCCAGTTCAAAGGTTGATCAACTTTTGCAAGAATGCCCTTGATTCGCTTAATTTTAATTCAAGTTTAGGTTTTAAACTAAGTGGTACTCTACGTGGTGATCTCACTACAGGAGCTATCTGATCATCAACCATGATTTTACACAATTCACTAAATTTCCCCACACCTTCAAACACTTCTGAATTATAATAATAAATTGATCTTTAGATGGAGGTAAAACAATTGTATACTGATCCAACTTACCTTTAATTGATATTCCAACCTTATTACTGAATTAAATTAAGTTTAACACATGGATTAATTCCTAATAATGGACGTATATGCTTGCTAGAAACCATTAAAAACTCTAGAGTATGATCCACACCATCTGAGGAGCATTGTAACATTAACGACCCATCAGGCTTAACTTTAAACCTTCCCCAAAATGCTTCTAATACATTATACTTGTTTAAAATAAGATTAGAGTTCTTAGCACTCAATGTTTCGTAAGTTTTCACAGGCGAAACATTCACTTCAGACCCTGTGTCCAACTTAAAAGTCACAGTTGTCCCTTCAACAATTATAGTTTTAGTCCACTCTTTGTAGACGATGTTGAGCACACACTTTTAGTTTTTTGAACATTTATGGAATTCACGAAAGAAATTCATTATCAGGATTCCCTATATAAATCTGCGTTATCCATGCTGAAAAACATTTTGGACGTGCTTCAGTCTGCACACAGTCGAAAAGTGATTTAGTTTGCCACAATTAAAGCATTTTTTTCCATATGCCGGACACTGTCCATTAACGTGATGTCTGTTGCATTTTTTACATAAAGATGTCTCAGTATTTGAAGCATCATCACTCCATCCTCTGTGCTTCCTCACTGCTAAGGCTGCATTGGCTCCTCCTGTTCGATGTTGTTTCACTTTTTCTCTAGTTACGCTGTCAACATTGTGTTCTCTTAACGTTTGAGCACGAGCTTTGCTCAATTCAGCTGCTTTCCCTAATTCAATTGTTTTTTCCAAACTCAGATTATTTTCTCGCAGCATATCCTCTCCTGTAAACTGGCATCTGATACTCCAAGGACAATGCCATCACGTATGTCAGAGTCACTCTGCTCACCAAATTCGCAAGATTTTACGAGTTTTTTCAGGTCAGTCACGAAACAATCAAAAAGTTCCCCTTCTTCTTGTTTTCTCTTATTGAATAAAAATCTCTCCACCACAACATTTGTTCTAGGCGTCGTGAAAGCTTCAAACCTCTCAAGCACTTTTTCATAGTTACCCTGATCTCCTGTTGAAAGATTGAACGTGTTGAACACTTTAACTGATTCCTCACCAGCGGCATTTAAAAATAAAGCAACTTTCACATCTGAATCTTTTGAAGCATTTCCTGAAGCTTTCATATAAATCTGGAACAGCTGCTTGAATCTGCGCCAGTTTTCAGCCACATTGCCGTCGAAACTTAGGCCTTGCGGTGAGTGACAAAATTCCATCTTGCATCTGCTGAGAGGAAAAACTACCAAGGGGATTGCCTGGCAACTAGTTGTAATACTATTCCACACGACTACGCCATGTTTTAATCATATTAATATTTATTGATCTATAATTAAGTTCATTACAACTCTCTCACATAGCACATTGTTTATTCCAGACGAACATTAACTGACAATTACTTCACTTCAGTTTGACCAGCAACTAGTGTGTTGCCACATATATGTAACAATATGTGCAGAATCCTCCTCGCACATACTCTGAACTACAATCATTGAAGAAATAGAAACTGTAAGAGACCGCTAGCAATTCTTAAATTACTAGATTAAATCCCCCACTAACTTTGTTTCACTTGTTTAACAGCTTATGTTTGCTTAATTTTCCTCCCCCCATTTATTTCGTCATCTTTCTAAGTTTTTTGTTCTGAAAAAGTCCTCCCTATCATCCATTTAAAAATGCTCACTACATGTTTTTGCACTTCTGAATCAACCACCTCTCTTACAACCAGTCTTATATATGGACAACCACGATGTGGAATACAATTAAGAGCTTTGATACTCAGAGTGGGATCACAGGATAGATTACAGCTGGGATCTTTTTCATTGGATTTCATGCTATGATGTTTGTCATGAGAAATGTTAACAGAGAAATGTCACAAGAAATGTTAACAGATGAAATGATACAGTTATTGGATTTCCTGACATGACTTTCAGCATCTTATTTCATGACACAGCCCTGCTCTGTCCATTAGTCATCAACACATGCTAACAAACTCCAGCTTGAAAATCACACTAATTTATTATCCTGGGATAGCACTATAATACAGGAGCCTGCTTTGCAAACAGCATTCACCTGAATCAAAGAGTGAACAGTAGTACTACTTCTTTCATTTACAAATCATAAAAGCATTGAAACATATCCATGATTACCAATGAGAAAAAGTGACCCATTTAAAACAATGCTATCATCAATAAACAATAAAAAGATGATAATTTTAAATAATTTGATTTAAAATTGCACTTAAATGCCAAAATAATCATCATCTATTTTCTATAACATAATGTAACTCTTTGCCAAACATTTAAGTAAAATAATCATTGAAGAAAAAGGGTGCACTGATTGTTATCTAATGATACGATCAGAAATGATTCTGCTCCTTCATACTTATTTCTAATACGAGTATAAACAAAACTTTTAATCCATACAAATCGTATACAATCGTTCTGCAAGCAACCAATCCAAATAAAATATTATTCAGAATAATAAAACAATTTTGCAAATCATGTAAATATTAAGCTAAGAATTATTAAAAAATAATTATAAAATATAACCTCAGAATAAAGTTTTCGAAAATCAAAATCTGGGTGAAAAGAATTTCCAAAATAATAAGTTTGTGTACAAAGTATTATGCCTATATAATAAAATGAATGTGTGTGCCTATATCTAAATAAATGCACAAAATATTATATTTAAGCAAGACAACACACATACACATGCATATGCCTTATAATACATTCAAAGTCATCACCACAGGCCCATAAAATTTTATCACATGACTGACCTTGTAAATACCCATGACCTCCACAAGCTTCTCGAGACTCTTGAATGGCATCTCTAGCCAACCAACCTGCAAGAGGTTTGGCTCCACTACACAAAGCATGTAATTCTGCAGCCCGTTCAGACTAGACAAAATAATAATAATAATAATGTAGCATGAACAACAATTAACAATAAGCAATGATAGTTTAAACAATATTTATAACCCATTGAATGACAAATAAAAATGTAATGAACCCTCTTTAAGATCATCACCCACAATCCCAGATGATAATGATTTTCTTTGGAAATGGTTGTATTATAGAAGACGGCTACTGGTGACAGCACCTGTTGATTTGTATGATGGATTTATTCCACTCAAAACTCTCAACTCTCAGTCTATTAATGAAAAGTATTTAGAGGTGAGGCAAGTTTATCAGTTTATTTACAGTCTTTTTTAAAGTTTTTTTCCCATGATTTATACTTAATAGTGCTTCTGCTTGGGAGTTATTTATGTTATTTACTCCTTTCTACATTACTTATTCCTATTACAGCTGGAGAGTTTTTTCACAGTTTTACTTTCTGATTCTCATTTTCTGAACTTTGCATTCGATATGTTATTATGCTTTTCCATAAAAGTCTTATGTTTATTCCTAATTTATTTTAAGAAAACATACCTAGACATATTTTTTCAAATAATACTTCATTAGCACATAACAATAACTAGCTTTGATACCAACACATTAGCAAAATCATCTTACTAGAAGTCGCCAGATTTTTCAAAATGCATCATACTATCGCAACCAAGCGCAAAACAATTTTTCAGTTTTAAGAAGCAAATTCACCATTTTCATATCAGTTCTTTTAATTGCATTCCAGGTCACAAGGGGTTTATACAGAAGTCAGGATATCTTTTGGCTTAGCACAAATTTTAAAATATGTGCTTCTGGAATTTACCTGCAATGGAAGAAAATGTGGTACAGTCAAACGTTGTTAATTCGGGCACCCATAATCCGGAATGATCTATAATCCGAACCTCAAAGCTACAAACTTTCTGTGCATGCGCGTAAGACCTTTACGGCTGTGAATATGCCTGTGCGCATGCGCATAATACGTTTACGCTTGCACGTTTAATGTATAACGGACGGTATAAGCTAAGCTAAAATTATCTAATTCAGTAATGTTGCAGATTGCGTTGTTCCTTAATCTTCGAATTGAATCCGCCTTATTATTTTTTGCAGACTGTTAGAGCAATTTTATAAAAGTAAGCTTGAACTTTCGATTATGTCAAATAGAATTTCTGATATATATTTGCTAATATGTAAAGGATCTACAAAGCGAAAGTATGTTTTGAAGTATATTAAACAAAAAGTGGAATTGCTGCACAAAATGGATAAAGGCATATCCTTTGTTTCTCTAACCATTCTGAATTCTCTGCTGCGGGCAATGAATTGGAAGTTGATCTGTCAGCACTATCCTTATCTTCAGGGCAGATGTTTTTATTTTATTTGGCTTATAATTCCTTACTAAATGTAATTTTTCATCTCGATGTACTCTGTCTTTGATATGATTTGAATCAAATTCCTCGTCATTATGATTCGCTTCCGATAGTGAAGAAAGTGAAAGTGACACAAGGTTATTGAAAACGAAAAAATTTCGATTGACAAATTAGTCGGTGTTCTCGACACAGCAATTATAGGACTTGAACAGCGGAAGCTTTGTAACTAAACAAGAAATTATGTCTGTTAATAGAATTAAAGAAAGCATTATTCACATGAAAACGAAGCAACTTAAACAACTTACATTGAAAGAAATGTTTAATAAAGTAACACAATAAATATTAAGCTCTTTTTTTTTTTTTTCTTTTTGTAAATTTGGATACCCTTTAGATCATAATTGTTCTTTATTTCATAAATTACGGTTTCATATTTTTAATTTTGTAATTTCTGCATGCCATCTTACCATATTTAAACTGATGATCTATAATCCAGAAAAATCGATAATCCGGAATCGCCGAAGTCCCGACGAATCCGGATTAACGACTTTTGACTGTATTTCCTTATGATAATGGCCCCCAAGATTGAATCACTGATCAACTAAGATATCTTGCCGAAATCTTGCAATGTGTTCTTATACCTTGCTACATGCTACATTTTGGTTGATTAGTGATTAAATTTTGGGGCTGCTATAATAAGAGAGCAGCAGTTTGATGCAAAATCATTAAAGGGATCATCATTTTGGGAATAAAATATGTATGTGATAAATAAATTTTGTATTATAAATCATACAACCCCCCCCCTTCATTTTTCTCTTTTTGGAGAAGGGTTAAAAATTTGCCAAATTACACCAAAATGATTACATAAAAAAAATCAGTTTTGTATTCTCATTCTTTTACTACAGATTTGACCATAATTTTTAATGTAATTATGATATAATCTGTTGCTTATGATTTAATTTGCTTTTTTTATTTATTTCATAATTCATTTGCATTGTTGTATTAACAAATTATAAAATCATCACGTAGGTAAGCAGTGAATAATATAACCAAAAGAAATTCAGAAAAATTTATCTTACTCTTAATTTTCCGAAATATTTAAGTGAATAATATTTAAAAAATTGGAAAATGTATTTAAAGTATATTGGGAGGGAGACCTAGGGAAGCCTTATATTATAAATTTTGTCTAATAATTTCAAAAACACTCAGAAATTTTTAAGATATTCATTCCCTGAAGAATCATTGAAGTCTGCCTACTTAATTTCCCCTTCATTTTATAAAATATGATGAACTCTATAAAGTAAATTAATTGGCTTATCAATACAGATTATCTAGTGTACTTCACTGTCAACTTCGTTATGTGACAGAATCTAGCATCACTTCATTTTTAATCAGGTTTCTAAATTTAATGCTTTCATTTTATCTTTTGCTTACATTTTAATCAAAGATAACTTATTTAAAATCTGGCAAATTTAAAACATAAAACCTCAGGCAAACATGCTTGAGTTATCATTTTTGAAACACACAATATCATCTGAAGTTATGTCAAATGTATAAATGAACTGCTTTTGGAGCCACTTGATGATTAATTTATTATGAATTCCTGGATGCAACACACAAATGGCTGTGAATAGTAAAATTAGTATAAAAAGTTTAGGAATCTGATGAATGTAATTGTATTGTGACATATCGGCCTACAAGATATATTACACTACCATGATAAGGATAAAATTTATACTTCAGAAATTTTTAAAACCATCTTCCCCCCAAAAACGACTCCTTCCCCTTTAAGATACATTTCTCATAATACTTGAAATTTATTTTTAATATCAAAATTAAAACATTTCAGTGGTCACAATTAAATATATCTGATACCTTTTTATGTTCCCAGTAATTTTTACAATTTTTAACAATCAAGTTTATTTTTTAAGACATCAATCTTTTTTAAGAAAATATATGAGCCCCCCCCAAAAAAA